AAAAAACGAAGGAGCAACCGCTTATCAATGCAGCAATTGTCTTCTAAAGTTTTTTCGTTTCCAACCGAAAGTTGTACGAAATTTTGAGAATTTTCCCGGCATTTAGTTATTTTGGACAGATGAAGCTAAAAATCCAATTAACTAGCGAACTGTGAAGGGTGTGAAGCATTAGTTATACAAATATATACAGTCAACTTCAACAAGCACCAGCGGACTGGACTCTTCGAATTATTTTTTCCCATAAAACGGTCGATTTCCACCAGAACAGCAGCAGCACATCATCATCATGCCACCAGCGCCTTGTGGTTGTGGCTGTGGTACTTGTGGTATTTGTGGCTGAGGTACTGGCACTGGCATACACTCTGCAATTATCACTAGTTATCCAGCAGATTTCCAGGGATCAGCAAAAGTCGCAAAAGTAATTTTTATCCGATTCCGCCAAGAAGCTTCTATTAAGCTAAAACCGAAAAGAAAACGCGTAGACTTTCTTTTTTTAAATTCATGTTATATACACATAAAATTTAAAATGGACATACGTGTTGTTGGCCCATTCTGCATGCTTGGCATACAAATCATACACGGAATACAGGACGGCGCACCGTTGCCGTTGCCACCATCGAGCGGTATCCGAATTACTTGCACGCCACCGAGACCACCAAGGCCACCAAGACCCAGACCACCAAGGCCTAATCCACCTAGGCCTAAACCACCAAGACCTAAGCCACCCAGTCCTAAACCACCAAGACCAAGACCGCCTAATCCACCTAGACCTAGTCCTCCCAAGCCTCCTCCTAAACCACCTAAGCCAAGCAAGCCTGCTAGCCCTCCGAGACCAAGATCACCGTCAAGTAGTGGGTTTACGGCAGCTCCTCCAACCCAATATGGAATCTGTCCTGGTAAGCTTATCAGTGCTGAACTCGTCGATGCGTAGATTAGCAGAGGAAGTAACCGTGTAATTGTTGGTATCATGCTGAAAAAACAAACGATTTCTTTTTTTCCAGAGAAGCCGTTTGTTTATAAAGCATGCTGATGCACTCGTTTGAATGGCGAGAAATCTCCCTTGGATCGATGTTAACTAATAAATAAAGCTATATGTAGAGGCGCGGGAGGTCTTTTATGTAGTACAGGCTGCAAAACTACACTGCCGTTGTGGGTCCGATGCTTTCAGACATGACAATAGCTTATCGAAAGATGGGGAT